TTGAAGTGCGGAATCTCCATAACTTAGAGACCTAAATAAGCAGCTTAAAATGAAAACCTAGTTTTTCTCCCAACACGTAACACCGTCCTGTGTTCCCCTACTGAAATTCCTCCCGAACACCAGCCCACTGTGACTGCTCTCCTATCCCTCTGTTAACCTCCCTCCTCTCTTCCCCAGCCTCTGCCCTGGCTCCCTGTCCATCGGGAGCTGAAACAACCAGGCGCATCCCTCTGCTGCTCTGCTTCAAAGAGCCTTTCATGATGCTGCTTGCGTAAAAGATGCTGATGCTGCTTCAAATGCCAGCACAGAGCGGTCCGGGGGCGGCGTGGAGCAGCTCCTGGTGCTGCCGGGCTGGGCAGGGGGGCTGCACTTGGAGACTTCACAGGTGACGTGATCAGGCCCTGCGTGAGGGGGATCACCAGGATTTATGGAGGCTGCACTCTTCTTTGACTTTCTTTGAAAATGAAATGATGGTGCAAATAAGAGCGAACTCCGGTTCATTGAAAAGGAGATGTGCGTGTCCTCGGCTGTTTGCTGCTCAGCATGGCCAGAGTCCTTAGAAGCTGCAGCTGTAGGAGACAGCTGTTTCCCTGCTTCTCAGCCAGTTCTGCTCTTAGATTTCAATTTCTGTTGTTTTGTTTGTGGTTTTAATAATTTGTTTTCAGTTGCTGTACTGTATTGTGGTTTTTTTTATCAGTGCAAACCGACCCAAACAACCTTTCTGTGCTGCCGTGGGGTTTTGCTCATGAAGATCCTGACCTTGCCCTGCATTGATACATGTCCCATGAGGGCCACGCAAGATTTGACTAAAGGCAGCAAACTTTCCCACCACCATGAGGAAAGGCTGTTATTTTCTTCACTTTTGCTCATCTTCCCCTTTTATTTTTTGTGGCTGTCTGGTTTTCCTGGGACTGACAGGCTCCACATCAGTGGGGAGATGTGTATCCACCGAGATCTCACTTGGCTCCCACAGCCCAAGGTGAAAGCCACGTGGCAGCGAGGCAAGCTCCCGGCAAAGCGAGCCTGGCTCAGCAGGAGCTGGAGGGATTTGGGCATTTATGCTTCGTCAGGAGGTTTCTGGCCATGAGAGTGTGCCCGGGGGAGCGCGGCTGAGCCGCCGGCCTTGGGGAAGGCAAGGCAGCAGGCCGGCTCTCTCTGTAATTGGGGGCAGTAACCAGCTGCCTTTGATGTCTGAGCCGGGCTGAGAAAACCTGATGGCAGACTTCAAAGTCTGTGTGCCAGCTCCCCTGATTATCTGTAGGCTTCTGGCGCGTCCCCCAAGACTGCCAGATTATCCCAGCTAATGCTGTGCTCTTCCCCGTGTCCCCCCCACCCTGCCTGGCGCCAGCCTCTTGCTTTCAAAGCTGCAGCTTCCATCCCTCCCTGTCCTTCTGCCTCTCCAGTCACCGTGGGCATATTTCAGAGGCATTTTCTGGGTGGGAGACAGAGCTGCTGAGGAGAGCTTGCCTATAGCCTGCACCCCTGGGCTGCATTCCCCCTCCCCATTTGATCACAAGAGCAGGCTGAAATGTGGGGAGCTGTCTGCAGCTGCTCTTTGCAAGGCACAGAGGTGTTTACACAGGCACTGGGGTGCCTTTCCCTGCCTTTCCCTTCCTTTCGGAAGCAGGGCTCCCACCCACGCTGCCTCAGGGCAGGATGACCAAGCTCATGGGGGCTGGAAGGAGAGGCCTGTGGTGGCTTTTTCCCCTTCAGCCTCTCTGCTGGGACCTCACTGCCTGAGATTAGTCTCTGGCTCCTCTTGCCACCTGCTCTGGTGCCTAGGGAGCCCCAGGCTGCTGGCAGAGCTGTGCTGGGCAGGGCACTGCTGAGGGCTGGCTGGGATGGGGCGAGGAGGTGGCAGATCCTTGGGGCTGAGCAGAGGCCCTGGAACTCCTGCCTCTCACAGAGCAGTTTGCTTTCACCTGGGATATTGCATAACAATGACAAAAGCCCATGGGGAAACTCTCCTTTTTATGAGCTAGGTTTTATTTCCTATCAATCAACCTTGAGCAATCAACCTTGGCAGTGGCTGAAAACCCTTCCTGTGCAAAGCTGGATTTGCCTGTGACACTATTTGAGGTCTGATCTCCTTTGGATGGTGGCACTTGTGACTTTTCAGTGGAAGGCAGCAATGAATGTGATGGCTGCAGGCACAGGAAACCACAGCTTCCCTAACCCCAGGCGCCCACATGGGGTGAAGGGAACTCATGGGAGACATAAAGCCAGACTGGGATCTGGGTTACAGCCTTTCCCCTGTGCTTGCCGTAGTATTTGGGTCTCAACAGACTCCTCCCCCTAAAAATAAACACTGTTTACTGGGTCACCTCCTTCATCCTCAGCAGCTTCCTCCTCAGCCTTTCTATCCTGATGTGGGGCTGGTCCTGCCTGATTCCCATCTCTCCCCAGGCTCACCGCAGTGTGTAAGTTGAGTGTCTAGCCAAGAGGTCACACAGTCACTGTGGATGTTGCTGATGGCTGTTCTGCTCTTTAAGGCAGAGCCTCCACCTCGCTGCACTGGGCTTGGTAAAACTTTCCATGCTGCATTTTTGGTGGCATTTTTCTGGAAAGCTTTGACCCAAAGTGGCTGAGCCCAAAAAGGGCGCCTTTGAAGGGATCCAGGGAGAGGCAGGAGGAAGGAGAATAGTTACAGAGCATGAAAGGCAAAGCCAGTGGTCTGGGCAACCCAATCTCCAGCTATGCTCTGGAGTGGGAGATACCTGTACCCTGCTGGGGTGTGCTGACAGGTGGCCCTGCTGTGGTGCTGGCAGTAGCCAGGCTGTTCCAGGAGCCAGAGGCCAAGAGTGTTCAATCCCTACGAGCCTTCAGTTCACTAAGTGGAGTGCCTGGGCTCATGCACCATCTGGCTCAGAAGAGGCAAGTCCTCTGCTCTGTGCAGGTACAGGAAGGGACCCTCTGTGCTATCCAAGAAGCATATTTCCCTTTTATTTCCTATCTGGTGTCATGCTTGGGAAAATAGGGCAAGGGAATCTTTCTCCCCATGGATTTGGACTCTCTGATGTGGCTTTTAATGGCAATTCTGTCTTTGTAAAGAATTGTCTGATCCCCTTCCTTCACTCTGCCCTGCTGTATGTCTGGTTGCACTGATTTCCCAGGGAGGAAGAGAGGGAGTTTTAGACTGTGCAGTCCCTGGAAGAGGGAGCTGTTGATTTTGTCCACAGAGCATCATTATTGCCAGGGATAGGGCTGGGCCAGGAAATCCTATTCTCCCCAGTTTCTCTACTGCAAATGTAAACTGCGACTCATGCATCATTAGAGTTGCAAGCTTGGAGTTAAACTGTCCCCGAGTGTGTGTTTATCTGCACATTGACTGTCGGAAGCTCACTGAGCTTGAACTCCAAGTTTCCTTTCCATTTACTCTGTCACTGTAGCAGAGATGCTTTTGATGCTTTTCCCTCCTCCAAAGTGGTAAGTGGGTTGGCTTGCTGTCAACGGGATGATCCCCCAGGGCACTGCTGGCAGTGGGTTGCTCTTGGAAAGCAAACCTCTCCATCCTTTTCCATTTTTTCCTTTTTTTCCATTTTCCTTCTGAAATGGGAAGGTTTAATCCTGCAGCAGGGAACGTAAGCCTGCCACACAGTTATGGCTCTGTGCATGGCTGTACCCTGCTGCCACAGGGCACAGAGCCTCCTCGGGGTACATGTGGAATCCTGCAGGCACCTCTGCCTGCTGCCACAGCCCATGCCCTCTTCTGGATTTGGCTTTCTGGGGAGCTGATGAGGAGCCAGCTGATGGGGGGTCGAGCCTTGCTGCAAGGGGCCTCTGCCTGCACCTCCCAGCCCCTCAGGCTGTCATATGAGTTGGTTTTATAAATGGGGAAAGGAGGGACCTTATGTTTGTTTTGGGTCTTTACATGAATCTCATTCCCTCTGGATGTCCCCTGGGATCAAGCAAGAGGAGCTGTTTTATGGTTGGTTTTTGCTTGTGAATCCCTGAGCTAATTAAGTCATTCAGTCAATCCCTCTTGCAGCAGGAGCAGCATGGCTCAGGGAGAAATGCTTTGTGCCACCTGGGGAAAAAAAATCAACAACCCCACAACAAAGAAAACCGCACCCCAAAAATCCCCCAAACAAAAAAAAACCACAAAAAAACCCCAACCAAACCACTAAACCCCACTAAACCAAAAAACCCAAACAAATAATTTCAGCAGTGGCTCTGAGCCTGTCTCTAGTGTTTTGGCTACATGCCTCAGAGACTGGGTTTTCCCTGCCCGGGATGTGCCCCTATCGGCCTCCCACCATGTCCCAGGACACCCCTGGCATCTGCCAGCAGGAGCAGAGGCATATCCCAGGCAATGCAGCCACAGCACTTATCTCTGGGAATGTGCCAGAGCCTCCCTGACCTCATCCCTGCAGTGCAGCTCCCTGTGGTCTCATTGCTCCTGCGAGAAGTGCTGGGTCAGGATCTCCCACATCCCACAGCCTGCCCATGGGATGTGCATACAGGACAGAGTCCCTGGGCAATTCCTGGTGGTGATCCTTCAAGAACCAACAAGCCAGCTGGACTGCCTGTTAGGATTCTCCTGACCACACAGTGGAGGGGGTAGTGTGGGAGAGACACCCCATGCACCGTGAGGCAGAGCTTGATCAGCCATCCTTAAGGAACTCTGTGCCACCCTAGCCTGTACCTAAGGCATCACGCTGCTGTCTGCAGCCATGGGAAATAAATAGCTGGAGGAACCTTCAACCCTAGAAATCCTCTTCCATCCCTCCCTGGAATCCAGCCCCTTGTCCCCTCCTCGCTGTTAGCAGGCAGAAGCTACTCTACACCAAAGCCACAGCAAGCAGGTGCCAGCAGGTGGGCATCTGGCATGGGCACAGTGACAGAAGGGGCTTTGGGCATTGTCACGCTTGCCCAGGTGGCCTGGGGACAGGGCACTGGCTGTCACCTCCCAGAGGGTGTTACTTTGCTGATGCACTCTGCTCCGTGACTTCTCCCTGCCATTCTAAGCAGAGGAAACCACCACTGACAGACAGTTTCCTCCCAGCCACCTTCTATTTAGCGGAGCGGCTGTTGCCATTGCCCATGAGAACCCACCACCGCCCCTCTGGGAGAGGATCCAAGCAGAGTGGATTCCCATGGGGCTGCCACAGTGCCTGGCAGCTGCCTTCCTCTTCCTCTTCCTCCTCCTCCTTCTCCTGGGTGAGTACCCTGCCCAGTGGCCGGAGCTTTCTTGGAAGTGTTGTGGGGAAAGCAGGGCATGGGGGGTTCAGCCAGCACTGCTGAGGCTCAGTTGCCATAGGAAGAGGTGCATCAGCATCTGCTCCTTTTGCACTGTGTTTTCACTCCAAAATGAGAGCCCAAACTTTAAGAGGGTTTTGGTGTGGGGACAGCCACATCCCCGTTGAGTGGCTGATTGCGGTGTGGAGGGTGTTACCTTGCTCCCTCTTCCACTGGGGGGGAATTTCTGAAGGTTTCCTAGGCAGTGTTGTCACCACCTCTCTTCCCTGGCCATCATGGCTGTTTTTTGGCCCATGTCCTGTGGGCATTCCGCTTGGTGTGCATGCTGAACATGCAGAGTGAATGTCACTGCTGGGAGCTATATGGAAGGGCAGGGTCTGTGGGTGGCAATCCCCAGACCCTCTGCAAGCAGAAATGGAGGGAGCTCTTGATGCTTTCTGGTGTCCCCTGCCTCCAGAGGAGCTCTTGCTGACTCCCTCTCCTGTGCTCTCCTCTGTTTCTGTCTGTGGAGCATCTCTGCAGCAGCCATCTCTGCATCTCCTTCTCTGGCAGTGATCAGGTCTCCCCCCTCCTCCCTGTCCCCCACACTTTCTGCAGGACCTGCGATCTTGGCCCACTTAATTTGAACACACCACAAGCTTCCTCCTTGATCTCAGCCTGGTTGCTGCTTCCTCTCCTGCCTGTGAAAGGCTCTTCATGCACAAATGGACTCAGCAGCCCTCTGGCCATGCAGCTCTGGTCTCTGTCGTGCGACCCCCAGTGTGGCAGGAGACAAGAAAGTTCAGGGCTCTGTAGTGACAGGACTTGTTCTTGTTACTGTACCCCTGCAAACACCGTGTGTGCTGACAGGTGTGAGCACTGGCCAGCGGGTGGTGACTGTGCAGGAGGGACCCCTCTACCGCACGGAGGGGTCCCACGTCACCCTGTGGTGCAAGGTGAGCGGCTACCAGGGCCCGGCGGAGCAGAACTTCCAGTGGTCCATCTACCTGCCCTCGGCCCCCGAGCGGGAGGTGCAGATCGTCAGCACCGTGGACCCCTCCTTCCCCTACGCCATCTACACCCAGCGTGTGCGCAGCCGGGGCATCTTCGTGGAGCGGCTGCAGGGGGACGCCGTCCTGCTGCACATCACCGAGCTGCAGGACCACGACGCCGGCCAGTACGAGTGCCACACGCCCAACACCGACGAGAGGTACTTCGGCAGCTACAGCGCCAAGACCAACCTCTCAGGTGTGGGATCAATCTCCTGACTGAGAGCCCTGTGGGGCAGGTCTCTACTGTCCCCACCTTTGCACTGGGGAGAAGTGCTCGTCTGTCAGAGGGACAGATGGGGGAAGGGGTGGTTAGTGGGGCTGAGGTAGGTTTGTCCACACATCCCCTGGTTATTGCCTCCCAGCCAGAGCAAGGGGAGGGAAAGGAAGCCTCTTCTCCCCCATGACTTCAGCTCCTGACACAGACACAGCATGTCGCAGCTGGGCACTTAGGAAGGCAGGAATTTCCAGGCTCTGTGCATTAACTGCTGTTGTCTTCCCAGGCTGGGGTGTGGGAATTGACCCAAGTGGGATACCCACAGATGGAGGGAGGTAGCAGTTCTTGCAGACAACTGGGGAGGAAGGCAATGGGGTGGAGAAACAGAGGGAAAGGCCCTACTGTGAGCACACCAAGTCTACGTTGTGGTATGGTACTTCCACTCGGTGTTCAGCCCTGTTTTCTCCTTTATCTTGGTGTTGCACCAGTCTACATTTGGAATAGTGAGGGAATGGATTCTAATCTCCTTGGGGCTGCCTAATTGATACTGATTGTAGTTTGACTGAAGAGGGCACTGCAAAGAGATTCACTGTTTTTCTTGTTTGCTGAGGTTTCAGTCACTTCACACCTCAACATAAGCTGATGGAAGCCTCATCAGTCAGCTACAGAAGATTTTTCTCCAGTATTGTCATGTCCCTTAGGCCGTGGTTGCAGTTTCTTGGGAGTTGTCCTGGGACAGGAGCTGGACTCACCAATTCTTGTGGGTTCCTTTCAGCTCAGGATATTCTGTGATTCTGTGTTTCTCCCCCATGCTCAGTGATTCCAGACACACTCTCGGCTTCCATGGCCCCCCAGGCCCTCACTCTCATGGAAGGGGATGCGGTGGAGCTTACCTGTGAGGTGTCCAAGTCCACAGCCCAGCACACACATCTCTCAGTTGGCTGGCACCTTCTTCAGGGAGCAGCAGGAGAGCACCGTGCCAAGGAGATCCTCACCCTCTCCAAGGACTTCATCCTGAAGCCAGGGCCCTCCTATGAGCAGAGGTTTCTGGAGGGGGATGTGCAGCTGAACAAGGTTGGGAACAGCACCTACAAGCTTGTCATCAGGAGGGTGAAGCCATCTGACCAGGGACAGCTGTACTGTGAGGCAGCCGAGTGGATTGAGGATCCTGATGAGACGTGGAAGGACATCTCCTGCAAGCAAACAGAGAGGACTTCGCTGGCAGTTGTGAGCCAGGGTAAGGCTTTTGCAAACTCTCGGGTTTTCAGACTCCCCTGTGCATTCAAGGCTCTACAGCAGATTTCACTGCCTCTGCTGCAGCCCAGGGCCACACTGGTGGGTCTGGCTGGACACCGAGGGGGTGGGCTGGGCTCAGGGCCATGGCAGCCCCTGGTCCAGGAGCTCTTGGTGCTTTGGCTGCTCATGCAGCCCAGTCTCCAACACCAGCAGCAAGCCCACAGCCTCACAGACCCGTGTGAGGCGCTGGCAGAGGGCGCAGCGCGTGCCCACAGCGGCCTGGATCATCCTTGGCAACCCTAAATCCCCCAGTGTGGGGAAATCCGGGGCTGTTTCACTGCCTCGAGGCTCTTGTGGCCTTAAAAAAGTGCTCCTCAGTCAGCTGCCCGTCACTGTGCTGCAGCCACAGGCACGGAGGGACACGGGGATGGCCTGTGTGTGCTGCAGGCCTCTTGTTGGGGCTGGCTTGTCTGTCCCTGCTGCCACCAGCCCGCTGGTTTCCAGAGCAGCTGGTGCTGCCGTTCATTAGGCCATTCCTCTGAGCACCCTGCCTGCCATCCCTCCTGCCACAAGCCTTTGCTGGCTGCAGTCCCTCGCCCTGCTCTTCCCCCAGGTGTGTGGGAGTGCCCAGGGGAAGGGAGAATCTCTCTCTCTCACCAGTAAGCTTTAGCTCAAAGCAGCCAAGACAAGGTTTGTGGATAGTTGGTGTCCTTTAACATAGCGTGCAGTGAAATTGGAGCAAGTGTCCCGCTGAGAGCCTGCCTGTGGAGGTGGTGTACGCTGTCCCCACACCTCAGGGTGGGTGAAGGAGGCCACAGAGCAGAGCTGGGGCAGTGAGGGGAACTGATGTCTCATGGCAGGGTGGTGAGTCAGAGCAGGAAACCAAAGAAACAGCGCTCGTATGTGGCTCAGGGGAGCAAGGTATCAGCAGGAAGGGGCGGGAAGTGTGGTCTCTTGTCAGTCTGCTTCCTGAAACCTGTCTGACTGGCAAAGCTTTATTCCTTCCCCTCATTGTGCACTGTGTGCAGCAAGGGCTTTCCAGGCCTGCTGCTGCTTGGGGAGCAATGGCAGTCAATGCACTTCCATGCATCCTCTTGTTGAAGAGGGCTTGGTAGTGTTTGGATTCAGGTCTCAGTGCCATGGGATCATTTAGAAATAGAGAAGACTTGTCAGGGTTTGGTATTTGTCCCGTGGTAAGTGTTAGAGGTAGGAGGGAGGTGATGGCGGCAGTATTGGTGCTCCTGGTACTGCCATGGTGGGACAGCAGTGGCTGTGCAAGCCCTCCATCAAGGATGCAGGGCTGGTTTCTTCCTCCAGCATCCAGTGGGGGAGCCCAAGGCCGCAGGGCTGAGCACCCCATCGCTCCCAGAGCCATTGACCACTCTGACCGTGGCTAACTGCTCCATCGGTTTCTATAAACTCTGCTGCAAATATTTAGGAATGCCAAACATATCTGCAGCAGCTGGGATTCCTGTTCACAAACTGTTTATGAACCAGTGTTTAAATTCACAGGGTACTCATTTCCAATAAAGTATTTGAGCCCTTCCAGTTGTGGTCTGGGAGCTGCTCTGTTTTACTTTCCAAACCACAGCATGTAACCTTTCCCTTGTTTCGAGTCTCAGGGGGCACCACAGTGACCCAGGGAGACAGAGTGGGGTGAGCCAGGGAATCTGGGCTCAGTCCTTCCTCCAGCTTTTGGCCATGCCAGTGCTCTGTGGGGTCATGGCACAGGGTTTTGGGGTACCCAGTGGGTCTCCTGCTTGCAGTCACTGTCCAGCCAGGCTGATGCCAGGAACCGGGGGGTTGAATGCCCAGTGAGGAAGGTGAATGGTATCATAGGACCCAGAGATGAGGTCCTTATCTCAGACACAGCTGACTGCCCAAGAGGGTCTGCCAAGGGAAAGAAGACTTTAGGTTCCCCCTGTCACTGCCTTCTTTGCTCAGCACCTACTGCTAATTTTTATGGGGGGGTCTACCTCCTCTTGCTTCCTTCCTGCCTCCCCATCTTGTGAAAAGTCTTGACATTTCTGCTTTCTGTAGGAACTTAACCCAAATCCTCTCCAGCTTGGAGAGCATCTCCTGCCTACAACCCACAGTAGCCACTGGTGGCTTCAGCATGTGGGAACAGCCACAGTAGATTCAGACAAGCCGCTTGAATGCCAGCCCTTCATGCACTTTTTTCTGCCACAAGCAGCAGAGTTCAAACCACCACTGTGATGAAACCCCTTTGTGCCCCTTTTTAGCTTACAGGATGGGTGTTCCATGAGGTAAAACAGCTCCAGGAGGGTGAGACAGAGCAGCACCTGCAAAAGCTGATGCCTCTGAGTTAGGGCAGCCCTCATTTCGGATGCCTGAGCTGAGCAGGGGCTGGCTGTGGCCAAAGGCTGTCCCAGTGGATGCTCTGCTCTGTTTGGTTTATCTGCTCTTGTCAGGGGAACTCAGCACCCCAGGGCTCTGGCACTTCCTTCACCTGCAACTGCTCCCCCCAGGGTCAAAGTTTTCTGTCCTGATCCCTTTTCTTGTGAAAGAAAACATTTAAACAGAGAATTCCCTCCCGTTGCCCTCTGCAAGGCCAGGAGGGAAGCACGGGCAGGGCCACCCACCACCCTCCTTGTTTTTGATTGCCCACAGGCAGAGACCTCTCCGTGGACATCGCCGCTGCTGAGCGCTCCCTTTCTGAAGGGGACACCCTGCAGCTCACTTGTGTGGTAGGAGCCCCAAAGAACAGCAGCAGGCACTTTAAAGTGATTTGGCTCCTCAATGAGATGGAAGTGGCCAAGGTTGACCCCCATGGGGTATTGATTTGGGAGGAAGGATATCAGGAAAGAGCCAAGCTGGGGCAGCTCCGAGCATTCAAGCCAAGCAACGCAGTTTATGTGCTCAGCATCTCTGAGGTGGGGCTGGAGGACAAGGGCACGTACCAGTGCTCTGTGTCGGAAATGAAGACTCCTGGAGACTTGCACAGCATCCAGACCAATGTGTCATCAGGCATACAAGTCAATGTGAAGCCAGTAGGTTAGTAAATCCTAACAGCTGCTCTTCTGGGTAAAGCCTGCAGGATCCTTGGCTGGAGAATGCTTTGGGTCTGGCCTCATTTTGACAGGGGCAGCAAGAGTGCAAATGTGCCATATGGTTTTTGATAGATAACGGGAAAAGCATTTGCTTTAGCAAATATTAGCATGACAGACACAGTAGTTGTCAAGAAAGTGTAAACCTTTAGTCTAGTCTCTGCAGTAAATTTTGGGGAAAATAGGTAGAATTCTGAGGAGTCTGTGTCATCCTGTATCTTTGGTACTGAAAACTGTGAGCAACATCTGCTGCTACTCCTGAAAATCACAGGAAAACCCAGCAGAACAGGTATGTATGGGGAGGGGGATCATTGCCATTTCCATCAGGGAAATGATGAACTCTCCCTGTTTTAGATGATGATTTGTGACAAACCACTCTAAGAAAAGTGTGTAGGAGGCTCTTGGTTTCCTTGTCATGACTAGATAATGGTTATTCTGATGTAGCAGGAGCTGCCTGCTGGGACTTTGTTTCTTAACTAATTCTTTATGTATCCATATCCCAAAGAAAGACATTAAACAGAAAAAAACCCAACAAAACAAAACAGAAAAACCACAACCACAAAGCCTTCTCCAAATCTACAGGGAAAGGCTGGTTGAAAATTTCAGGCATTTCCCCAACTCCTTTCCTTTTCCAGCATCAAGAATTTATCTAGTCTTTCACTCGCCCCTGCAGTGCTTCAGTTTCCCCATTTCTACCAGGATGCTAGAGTCCTCCATGGTGTGTTTTGGGACAACAGCTGAAATGCTGGGAGACCTGAAGGGCAGCATCTTGCTCAGCAGGCCTTTGTCCTTAAGCTGAAATACAAAATATCTGTTCTAGCAGCATAATTACTTGCAGTAATCAAGATCAACAAAGCTACTTGCTGAGTTTTCTGGTGGTATTGATCAGATACACCCCTGGTGCTGATTGCTTCCCCTGCCCTTTTCTCTGAGCGCAGAGCCCCTAAGCTCTACAGTGTGCAAGTGACCATGTCCTTCCTTCTGGGGTGCCTTTATGGAGAGGCAGCTTTTTTTGGCTGTGATTTAGCATGGTTCTCCTTTCTTGTTGCTGGGCTGGGTGCCTGAGAGCACCAGTCAGACCACAGGAATTGTTAAGTTTTAGTGGAAGGAAGCAGCAAACAGGAGAGCAACATCAGCAGAGGATCCCTGGCTCTTCTGGTGTAGGATTGGGGACCCTGGAAAAGAGGATACACAGAGTTTTCTGGGAAATTGGGGGGTTGGAAAGTGGGAGGTAGGAGAGGGCCAAGGGCTGCATGGGGTTGGCAGAGCACAGTGGAGAGCAGCACTGGCAGAGGAGCAGCAGCAGTGCTGGTGCCATGGCCCTGTGGTGCCCAGGGCTGCGTGGGTGGGGTGGCAGTGGGGTGGCACAAGGCAGAACTTCTGTCCCCATGCCAAGGGCTGTCTCCTCCCGAGCAGGTCTGGGTCTGCACGCCACGCTGAGCAGCCGAATTGCCACCGTCAGTTACGGGCAGAGTTTTGAGCTCTTCTGCCAAGTGAACGCCAGCTACACCCTGGAGGAGGTGCCAGCGTCTGTGAGGTGGCTTTTCCTGCCCAGCCTGCCCACGGGTCCCTTTCAGGAGCTGGTCAGGGCCTTTCCCAGTGGCACTGTGGTCTGGGGGACAGCACAGCCACACCTCCAGGGGAAAGCCCAGCTGGTGAAGGCTGACACCTCCTTCAGGCTGCGCATCCACAGCGCCTTGCCTGCCAACGAGGGGACGTACCAGTGTGAGGTGGAGGTCTGGAGGAGGAACATCCTGCCCCTGGGGCAGCCAGCAGCCAGCACCAGCTCCAATGCCGTGGGAATAAAAGTGGTGCTGCCAGGTAAGCAGAGCCTTCAGCAGAGGTCTCTCCTGCAACTTTAAATCCATCAAACGTAACCAGGGCCACTGATGTCTGGGGTGTCCCCAGCAGGGTCACCTCCCAGGGCTGCAGGAGATGGTGCTGCCTGTTCTGGTGCTTCCTCAGCTCCTGACAAAACCTTGGGGACAAATTTGGTGTTGGTGAGCAGCAGTATCTATTTGTTTGCAGATTACACCAGCTACACAGGGACCAGCCTTGCCACTAGGATTTTAAGCCTGGTTTCTGGAAAGAAGCAGTGCCCCCCAGGAAGCCCAGCTGAATGTTTGGGGTGTGAGGTAAACCCCATGGTGTGGGTTTCTGGGAGGCAGTGGAGACAGACCAGCCCCTGAAGCTGATGCTGGGATATGTCTGTGTTCCCTGACCAGAATATTCAAGGTATGCAGAGAAAGCACCAGGCCTCTGTGCCGGGCTGGGAGCCAGCACTGAGCCTCAGGGTGCCAGGGACTCGGTGGGGAGGTATCTCATCCCCAGCACGGCTGGGGCCCTGCCCAGGGTTCCCTTTTATGGCCACGCCTGCAAGCAGGGTCTGTGCTGCCATCCCTCCTGCCAGCATCCCGCTGGGAGCCTGGTCCTCTTATGGAAGAGATGCTGCAAGCAGACCCCACCACCCTGCCATGCGCCTGCTCCCTGCCGTCCCTGGCAGCACCACGGTGTCAGCGTGCCCTGCTCACAGCTGGGGCTGCTGCAGGAGCTGCGGGGTTTGTCCTGGCCAGAGCCTCTGGAGGCAGGCCTGAGAATATGGGCTGGTTTAGGTTTTTTGCCCTTGTGTCTGTTCTGCCAGCAGAGGAGAGTTCTTGCTCTTTTTTTTTTTTTTTTTCATGCATTAAGTGCTCCTTCCTCTAAAATCCTCCGATTTTCAGAATCCACAACCCAGTGAACTGAAATTATGCATTTTTCATGTTTTTTAACTGATGGATTTGCTGTGGCATAAACGAATACATTTTCTTCCCTGTCTGGGCTCTTTTCTCTGTTGCTCTCTCCTGTTCCGCTGTTATTCATTCCTCACCCCTTTGGAGCTGACTGCTGGGATGCTCTGTTGAACACTGGAGCTACCACCAGCTGGGGCAGGGTGGCACTGAGGTGACAACAATCAGCACCTTTGGGCACACATCTCTAGTGTAAATGGCATTAAGATGAGCAGGCCTAATGGCAGAGCATCCACACAGAGGAGATGGTAGCAGCATGAGAATACAACATTTGGCTCCAAACGTGCTGCAGCTGTTGCTGGAGACTGTGGTGCTGTAAAGAGTGGAACTGGGAGAGGGTGATGCACAGTGGAAAGTCCCTGCTGGCTCTAGTGACACCTCCCTTGGAAAGGCACCAGGAGCCAGTGAAGGATATTTGGGAGGGTAGGGAAGTCTGGGGAGGAAGCTGGCTCGGGCAGCAATGGGGTTGGGGCGAAGCTGCAGAAAATGAAGCTGCAAATCATGAAAATCACCAGCCTGCTTCTCCTCTTATAAAACCTTATAGCTGGAGCCTGCAGAGATACTGGAGTTCTTGACTTTTTGCTTCAGCACTTTGTTTACTCTTTGATGTCAGTCAGTTCTTTAGGAGTTTACATGTTGCTGTGGTCTGTGGGCCATCTTCAGATAGGAGGGGCATCCATGAAAGATTTTAACATGCAGGGAAGGAGGAGAGATCTTTTCCCTTTCCAATATCTTACGTGGGATTTCATTATTAGTGCTCCTTGAGCCTCTCAGTGTAGCTGCTTCCCCCACTCTGGGGTGAGCTGCAGGGGCTTTTTCACCTTGTGTCCCTCAGGCCAGCAGCCCACATGGGCTGTGCCCTTCTGCCTGCTCCACTGCTCCTGGGCCAGGTGGAAAACCAAGCATCAGCAGGCAAGGTTCACAGGGAAACGGGTGGTGAGATGCTCAGCTCGGTTAATTAAATTGAAAATGAAAGGGAAAACAGCACCATAGCTTTATGTGAGAAAGGAAGAGGCAGGCAGCTGCTCTGCCCTTTTGGTAATTGATCTTTAGCAGTATAGAGAGGAGCTAAAACAAAGGGGCTTTGCAGCAAGTGTTCTGCTTCCTCTTGAGGTGATCTCCGAGAGTGTAACAATTCTCCTCATCAAAATCAAGCACTCAAGGCAGTGGTTCCTGTACCTCCTCTCTGAGCTCTAATAGCTTCTCCTTCTCTGGAACATTTTCTGTCCCCAAAGGTGTCAGGCTAGGCCACACACAAGCACAAGCCTACCTGCACCCTTGTCCCCTGGCAATTCACTGACTGTCTGAGTGGGATCCTTGGTACCGAGCAGATAAATTAAGAATTAAGTATCTTATTTTTTCCAGTGTGATCACTTCACCTGTCACAGAAACACAGGATGGTGGAGATTGGCAGGGACCTCTGGAGGTCACCTGGTCCACCTCCCTGTGCAAGCAGGGCCACCTAGAGCAGGCTGCCCAGAACCATCTCCAGATGGCTTTTGAGTCCTCCCTCTGAAGGTTTGTGCTCCCACAGAGCCAGCTCTGGGATGGGTATGCTTTTAAGTACTGACGTTTAAGATATCAACTTGCATCTAGCTGCCAGGTATGCTCAAGTCCGTGTAAATTTCATGGTGGATCTGATGAATTTGCACAGTGCCCTAATTCGGGTGACTACTGTCCCCTCTCTTCTCCTTTTTGCTCATAACTGTTTCTTCAGAGCAGTAAATGCACACTGTGAAATGCAGGACAGCACTGTGATCCCTTGGGAGCATCCACCTCCCAGACATCCTGGTAAGTGCTGCTGTGGAAATCCTCACCACTAAAGTGAGGCAGTAAGCAGATACTGGGACTCGTGCAAGTGCCTCTGTGGAGGAAACCGGCAACCTTCGGGTGAAAATGCGTTTGTCTGCAGAGAGAAGGAAGAGTAATGGGTTTCAAAGAGAAAAGAATAAGCAGGGAGGTTTTGTTGGCAGATTTCACAGAGAGACAGAGGCTCTACAGAGATGTAAAGACATATCGGGATATTTTGCTTTGACCAGTCTCAAGATAGGCAGTGAAGGCCTTTGAAATGGATTGCTTGAGTTTGGAGAAGAAATGCTTGAAGGAAGAGGAAATGTGCAAGCTTTCTCCTGCAGCATCTCTCTTTCCCCTCAGCTCCTGTGGGAGAAGCTGCAGCCCCCTCCTGTCCCAAAGCCCTCTCCACAACCTGCTGCCATCACATCCCTTGGGAGAGGACTGTGAAGGAGAGTGCCCTGCTGAGCCTGTGGCCAAGGGCAGGGGTCTGAGTCATTCTGAGGGACCATCTCAGTCTGTCCTCTGCTGCCTGCCCCCAAATCAGCACCCAGGGCCTGAGCCTTAAGGGAGCTCAGTTGTCCCCAGCCTCTGTGGCAGAGGGTGTCCTGCTGCTCAGCTCGTGTGCAAGGAAAGTTCTAAGAATGGAAACTCAGCCTATGGCCCCCTAAAACCCTGATGGTGTCTCCTGCTGAGTATTTTCTCCCTACCCAAGGGTGGATCCCTGTGTATATTCCTTCCCCTGACTGCTGACTCCATCTGACAGAGGTGGAGTCTCAGCATGGAGGGGAGGGTGGAGGGGAAATGCAGGTGGTTGGAGGACCTTTACAGATATGGATTTGCAGCTTTCTCACTGCTGGAGGAGAGGTTCCAGCAACAGGTGATGCACTGTGGGAGGAGGTTTCCTCAAAGCAGGAGCAGCACAGACACATCAGGATCAGCAGTGCCTGCTGCCGAGGCAGCACCTTCCCTCTGCTCTCCTCAACTGCACAGCACTGAACAATGACTGGGTGTGACCTCAGAGGGTGTGCAGGACTCTGTGCTGTGGTTTTGGATTAATAACCACAGCGAACATCTGAGATGGCAACTGTTAGTGAGACCCACAGGGGCTCTGTAGTCTCTCAGTGATAAAAGACACTTGTTCACAGTCTCCAAAGGCGTGGGCTGGTTTTGTCACGTACGTGTGAGCCTGCTGATGGAAGCAGTGGTAGACAGACATGTTTGCTTCAGACAGAGGCTCTCCCTCCAAGCTCCAACACAATGGCTGCCTCCATCCCCCATTCCTGCTCCGTGGCTTCCAAGGCACCTCCTCTGCTACTCTCCTTCCTAACACTTCCTAACTCCTGGTAACACCCAGCTGTGGTTCCCTGCTATTGTTTGAACAAGGGTGTGTGGATTTGCTCTTCCCCTCCTTCCTTCACCCTCTGCTCCAGCATCCCCTAATGTGTCTTTGTCCTCTGTGCACCCTCTTCCTTACTCCTCTTTCAGTGTGTTTCTCTCAGGACAGCTTTATTCCTCTCCTTGTCAGTATCCCTGTGCTGGCATGATGGTTTTCTTTCTCCATTTCAGAAAGCAAGCTTCAGGTTGCTACGCAAGACAGCTCTGTGGAAATTGCCAGTGGTAACGCAGCCATTGAGTGCAGGGTTGTGTTTGCCCCGAAAAATTCGCAGTTTGCTGTTACCTGGTACCTCCTGCCTCCTCTGGCAGATGCGACGCCCCTGCAAATCATCAGGGCCAGCTACAGCAGCATACTGGAATACGGGTCTGAATTCAGCTCTCCTGCACAAAAGTCCCGGTTCCTAAGCCAGAGGGTGTCCAGCAACACATTCCAGCTGCAGATTCTGTCTGCAAACCTCGGGGACCAGGGCAGGTACTACTGTGTGGTAGAGGAGTGGCTCTGGCTGGTGGATCGCTGGTACAAGCTCGGAGAGGGAGCATCGGGAAGGACCACGCTGAGGTTCAGACTCCCAGGTGAGCAGGTGTTGTCCCTTGTACAGGTGCTGCTGAAGAAGGTTGGATCAACTCATGACAGACCCCTGTCAGGCCTCTCCTAAACTGGCAGGGCTTAGAAGAAGCAGCAGCTCCTGTGCTGGATCTGAGGCTTAGGGATACAGGAGCTGTCAGTGCCTCTCAAAGGGAAATAGGGAATTAGGAAGATTTACCATATCCTCCCAAACCAACTGAGCTGCTATCTTTGCTACTGGCAGATGTAGTCAAATGCTTCATAACAAAGTGAATTGTGACCTTTTTCTTTTCCCTGCAACACCTGGTGCACTTGGGTGGTTGTACAATGCTGTTGAATAGAGAAGCAGCCTTTACCTGATGCTCCTGAGCACCCTGAAGGAAAACGCTTGGTTTTCCTTACCCTGCAGCACGTTGCTGCTAAGAAACAAGACTGGAAGTTCAGCTGCTCTCACCTTAATCACTGCACCTCTGGGGTGCATGGTGGGTCTCCCTGGCTCAGTTCTTCCCTCCCTCAGCCTCACCCCAACTCTAAATAAAGTGGATCAGAGAATTCCAGCTTCCTAAATAGCTGTTGGTCCAAAGGATGCCTTTATCACTTATTTTGAGGGGGTAGGAAGTATTATTGCATGGGGGACAGAGATGATGGGGAAGGTGGGGACATGACTCCCCAGGGAGAATGGACAGGAGCAAGGGGCCTGTGTCTGTCCAGCAGAGGCTCCTGCAAGAGGCCATTCCAATCCCTCACCCTTTGCTCCAGAAGGTTCCTATCAGCTTGTGGGTGCAGGCAGAAGTGGTTTTTACAACAGTACAACACCACAACATCTCTTTCTGCTTGCACTCTCCCCCAGAGCGCGAGCTGCAGATGGAGAGAACCAACAGCAGCATCTCCGCGAGGGAGGGCGAGGAGGTGACGCTGCCCTGCCGGCTGCAGGGTGCCCTCCTGCCCGGCACACACCTCTCAGCCACCTGGTTCCAGGTGGGGAGCAGTGGCCGTGACAGCTGCCTGCTGACCCTGCACCACGATGGCACCGTGGAGTACCCGCAGGAGCGCCTGGCAGGGCGGCTGTACCTCCGCCGCCCCTCCGCTGGCGACTTCAGCCTGACGCTGCTCAGCGTGGAGAGGGGAGATGCTGGGGCCTATTACTGCCAGCTGCAGGAATGGCAGCAGCAGAGCGAGGGGAAGGACTGGGCTCTGCGAGCCTTGGCACGCTCTGGGTACACCCAGCTCGCCACCATCCCGCCAGGTAACGCTGCTGGGTGCCAGGGGCTGATCGCCCTGCATGGCTCATCCCCCCATAGCCATGCTGGGGCCAGAACCAAAATGTTTTGGGGGGAAAATTCTTGGGGTGACCTCTCTGGCAAGTCTGTCTAGACTGAGGTCTCTAAAACCAGCCTCTTGTTCCCTTTGGGGTGAGTGGGGGTGCATGTTGGCTGCAAAGGTAGGACTGGATTCTGCATGCACAAGTTTAAGTAAATAAAAGCAAAGGTTTCAGTCAGGTGCATGTGGTGTTTTTAGGAAGGTAATACACAGGAGTTGTTGCTGCTTTGGGAAAATAGGAGGCTCAGATGACCCATGTGGAGGAAAAAGTATAAACTGTGAAATCAATCACGATGCACCCAGCTGAGAGGATCTTGTACTTGTACCCACCTTCAGCCCTGGAGCTGCCATGCCTGAAGCCAGCCTGGGTGCCTACACGAGTTATGGCTTCTGCAGGACTTCCTAGCACTGGCCAGCATGGAAAGGGTGACCCTGCAGAGCCCTCCCCTGTGCCTCCCACAGCCAGGCACGGAGCCTGCTCCCATGACTTTTCACCTACAGCAGAGCTAATCTGGATTTAGCTGCACAGAGAGGGCACTTCATCCCCCCTGCTGTTGTGCTGCTGCTGTTTTCCATCATAGCTCTCTCCAGCACTCAAGACTTCTCCTTCATCATCTCCCTCTATCTCTTGTTACCCTTTACTGGTGGAGTAACCATTGCTAAAATTGCTCAGTAACTGCTAGTAAATCCTCCTCCAGTTTTTAAATAAGTGTTTTTGCCAAGCAGTTTTCATGGTTTTCACAAAAGGCAAAAGATTAGGGGGGTGGTTTTTCTTTATCCCTCTCCTTTTAATTTTTTTTTTTTTTTTGAGGGATGGCCATGTGTGTTCATGTCTGTTCCTCCAGTGATGCAGATATCTTTCAAGTACCCAGCAGCCTGCACCTCAGCTGGGGAGCTGCTCTGCAGGAGCTGCCAGGGATGAGGATGGTGCTCACGGCTGCTTTGGGGATGAAATACAATAGCAGATCAGCAGTAACAAGGAGGGGCAGGTGTCTGGGTGGGGACAGGGACCTCTTGATCTGGTTCCCTTTGCTTTCCTCTTATCCCATCTTGCTCAGTGGTGCAGCCTCTGACAGACTTGTACCTCATCCCACTGTCACTGGTGTCAGGCAGGGTGTGTTGCTTTCCCTTACTGAGCCCAGTCTGGAGCGGGTTAGCAGAAGAACTGGGTGCTTTCTGTTGGTATGTTTCAGATGAACAAATCAGGGCCTTATCTGACCTCCCCAGACAAGAAATAGAGGCAAATTGCCTGGTTTCTCTCCCTCTTCTCCTCAGTTAGCCTGTATGAATTCTTCAAAATTATTAGCTGTTGAAGACTCAGGTTAAAGCTTTAAGAAAATAGAACTTAGACAAACAGTAGGAGAGAGAAACTCAAACTAGCTTGGGCCTGACTTTTTATTTTTTTTTTCCTTCAGAGTCAACTGTTTTGTCTAGGATCTGCTCATCCCCACCACTGCTGAACTTCATCTTATACTTACCATTGGTTCTGATCCTTTTCCTGGCCCTTGCTGTTTTCTGCTGGTACTGCAAATTCAGGAAAAACAAGAAGGGCAACATCACAGGATGGATGATGGAACTGGAAGGGAAAGAAGAGGTCAAGAAAACTTAGCTGGTCTGTAGAGGCAGATGTAACTTGGAGGAGCAGAGCTGGACAGCTGAGGAGGACTGAGCACTTGCAGAGGGGCTTTTTATGGGTTTGTAGTAGCTCTTGCAATAAATCCTTGAGATTGTGTGTTTGCTTTTGATGGAATGAAGCAGCTTTGGAATTACTAAGCAAACAGGGTTTTCCTAACAAGTGTTTCTGTCCTTTAGGTTAGATACTCACCCATTTCCTACTCTGTTTGTTGTGGTGCATTTGAGGTCCCTGCAGTATGCATCTCCCACTGTGGATGGAAGTGGTTTTATTCCCCTGCAGGAATAAGGGAAAAAACAGTTATTTCTGCATTCTGACACAAAAGCACCACATTTCTACTAAATTTGGGTGTCTTGATAAAATCTATGTGGTATCCAGTCTAAAAACCAGTGGTAGAACTGGAAGTGGAATATCCCATTTAAGTCATCACACTTGCCTTTGCCCACTGTTTGCTCAGGAAACTCTTGGACACTGCTGTTTTCACGTTCAGAGAGTGCCTGTGCTCCAAGAGCATCATCTCCAAAATGAAATGGGTCTTCATCACAAAACCTGTCACAGGAGCATGAGGACTGAGCAAGGCTGGCTGGGCCTGAAGAAAGTCCAGAGCTGAGGTACCATAGCCATCCACAAAAAACCAAATCCTGTTGACCCAGTAAAGGATTTGCAGGGAGTCTTGGAGCCCACAAGGAAGATGTGGACACCAAACCATCTTGGAGATCAGGGTACAAAGTTCCCAGCTCCTTTCTTTGCTTCTGCTGTAGGAGAAGACAGCATCCAGCCTCTGGTACCTGTGCTGTCTGTGGGTCAGGAAGCTGAGACCTGGTTAAAGACACATCCAGGTTGTCCCATGTAATAAAAAAGCCATGTCTGTGCTTGTGGGGCAGATCCTCTATACTCTGGAGTCCAGCTTGGGCTCACCTTTTCAAGGCTGAGGAGCTCTGCTACCTGAAGAGTGTCTGGATGATGCGTGGAAGAAAGGAGATTTCTATCCAGTCCTGATAAGCCAAGGGATATTCCACCCCTAATTGTGCAAAATGGGATGTGGTCCCAGGGATTTGGAAGGTCAGGTATCAGAGCAACACTCTAAGCACTGTCCTCAGACCAAAGTAGCTTTATAGAAACCACAGCAGAGACTTACAAACCTGCTTCCTGTGACCACAGAGAGATTTGGAGACACCACAGCCTGTCTAGATGATCTGTTCTTTCTCTTTCTTTGCAATTAGGAAAGCTGCCTGGCTTTATCCTGAAGAACTGGCAGGTGCTACAGTCCCTTGAAAATGCAGTTTTTGCACACATCTGAGGATTACTGCTCCTGTTTCCCTGTTCAGCCACCTCTGTCTGTGCTGGCTGGTTCCAGCTTGCTCAGTCTTTCCCTGCAGGATGTTTTCTGGACCCGGTGCAGCTTTTCCCTTTGCTGTCCTGACCCCAGCTGCCTCTCCCACAGCGTGAGTGCTCAGAGCTGCACGTGGGGCTCTCTGCAGAGGTTTCCCCCCTGCCTTGTGGGTTATGTGCCGTTTACACATCCCAGTGGGATGTTTGATGTTCTCTTTGCGTGTGACAGCGCGCCACTGTTTGTGCTTGGCTCGTGATCATCGGCCTCCTCTCCTGCAGATTTGCTGTCTGGCAAGTTGTGTCTCCACTTCATGTTCAGGCTGTTGACTTCTCCTCTCTGAATGAAGCCCCATTTCCATGGGGGTGTTGAACAGCTTTCTGCAGCAGTTTGTGGAAGATCCTGCCGTCTGCCTTAGCCCTGTCTCAATAAAGCTTTAACTCATGTGCCGGTTTCTGACTGTTTGACAGAGAAGCAGATGCTCCCAGGATATTAAACTCCTACAGGTTTCATGGAAAGTGGTAGGTGGAAGAAGGAGAGGAGGCAAGCGAGTTGTGCCACCAAGGGAAGGCTGCAGTGTGACTTGGCCACCTGGTACCTGGCTTGTGTTTAGGGGATTTGGAAAGGAGATGTAAGTGTACTAGGGTGTGGAGAAGGAAAGAAGGAACTGCTTTTGGCTATCAGCTGTTAACAATAAATCTGTGCACTTAGCTTATCTGCTAATTTTGTGCTGTTTATCCAGGTTTGCATTTGGCTTGTTTCCTTAGTTTGCCCAAGAATACCTTGGGAGCCTACTCCACAAACCTTGGTAAAGTCAAGAATGTATGATGTCTTATCCCTTCTCACAAGGTCTTATTGCAAGGGAGATACATCTGTTTTGTTCAAAACAAACAAAAAAAAGTAGTGGGTTGGCTTTTTTCTTGCATTCTTTTTAGTACTTTTGACTACTTTGTCCCTCTATCTCCCCAGGGATTATAGTTAAAAAGATGGTGTTCAGTTTCCACTTATTTTTAAACAAAATTTTTCCCTATTCGCCTCACTTGGTGTCTCACACTTCCTCAGATATTACCACAGCAAACTACTAATAGATGTCTTGACAGCCCATTCTTTATGTGGCTTAGGATGAGCCTCGTCATGACCATCTTCCCAGTCAAAAATCTGAATTATTTAGGTTGCTACTCATTAGCAGAGTGCTGGGGGTGGCCCCTACCCTGCTGTAGCAGTCCCATGTATGTGTCAGCCTCCAAAAGCAGTGTGAGCTCTCTGAGTGACCTGGGTTTGGTACATCCCCCAGAACTGTGCTGTTCCCCTCACTCAGCCACCTCAGCAGCCCATGGCAGGTCTGTGGAGGCATCTTTCCTGCCATCTGATCTGCACACAAAAAGCTGCAGATGGCTGCAGCACGAGATTTTTGTGTCTGGTGGACTGGGGTGGAAGAGGTGGGCAGAGAGGGAGGTTTCTCCACCAACAGGGCACTTCCTTCTTCTGTGCCATTTTTGCTGAGTTAACCAGAGCCCCATAAATAGCAGCTTTCTATTCACGCAGGTGTAGAGGTTTTAATTTAAGTTTGTAAGTGTGCCTGGGGCCTTGATGAAGGGGTCTGCAAGGAGAATGTGTGTTTTTCCAGCAGTGGGCTTTTCACCCTGTTTTTTTCTTCTGGCTTTGCTGAGTCACTGCCAAACCTTTCAGCTAAATGTTTAAGATATATGTTTTTCCATGAGTGAACTTAAGAGTTGTAACTTATCACAGCAAAAGCTCCAAAGCAGTCCTATTTTTAAAGAGAACAATTCTGTCAGCTAAGGTAAATGTATGAGAAGGGAGAGAGATGTGTGTGCTTAGTGGGACAGGGGGAGGGTGTTGATTTTGCTGCTGAGGCTCTTGGCCACCTTCACCCATTCCCATCACCACCTTTTGTTGCAATTCAGCCTGTGATATAAATTAGAACAGCTGATAAAATAGATATTTAGCTGCTACAGCCATTCCCCACCTGAAGGGGAGAAAAGAGTGCAGCAGCACAGCAGTGCCCCTGCTGCACCCCGTCCCCCACACGTGTCCTTGTCCAGGGAATGATTGTCCTGTGTGGCAGGGAGATCCAGGGTCCTTTCACAGCTTTTAAAACAGTTTAAAAGGCTTACAGGGAAATGCAGGGCTTGGTCCATGCGGAATGAAACCACTGGGAAGTGGTTGCATGGGGCTGTAAAAATAGAAGTGCTGTGACGTGTGTGGAAGGTTTTCATAGGAAGGTATGGAAACCAAGGCAAGGGGAGAGCAGCACAGGCCTGCAGCTTGGATGGATGATGTGGGGTGGGACAGAAGGGAATAGAACCCCTGCATTGTGTATCCTTCCTGGAATGCTCCTCTGGCAGGAAGAAAGCCCGTGCTCAGTGACTTATCCAGCATGCAGTGGGACAAAGCATCATACCAGTGTCTAACCTGCACTGAGGACCTTTTTTGGCAAGAGGGAGGGTGGGTGATGAGCTGGTCGCTGTGCAGGAGTGGTGGGAAGTGGTTTGCAAGCAGGGAGAGAGTTTGTGGCTGGTGGCTCAGGGTTTCCTGGCCTGCCCTGCTGCCCTGGAGCAGTGGGCACAAGAGCAGCGTGCTGTCCTGGACTGCTGGGGCAGGGCTGCTGAGCAAGGTTGCCAAACTTTCGATAAATTATTCCAAACAAATGACCTGGAGTTCTCCTGGGATGCTCCCTCTCAAGTAGCATCTCTTCATTACTTCCTATTAACTCTGAGTTTGTTTTGAAATCTGACATTCAGTTTTCTTCCTGTGATGAAATATTTAAAATCCGGAAATAAGAGAAGCATTTTTATTTTTCTTTTATTATGTGCTTTGGTCTCACTTGATGCCATTTTGCATTCCAGCTAGTTCCTGCAGCCCTTGCTTGTTTCATGTGTCCTTTGGCCTTGGTCTTTGGCACCTCAGACAAAGCAGAACCACTCACAGAACTCAGAACCTTCCTCAGCCATTAAGGAACTGCTGCTTTGGATCTGCCTGCTGCTGGATTTTTTGGTCCTTCTCAAATCACCTGCTCCTCTCTCTTTTCTTCCTGCAGACAATATGGCATTATATAATTGTTGTTTTAGTTGGAGTTACACTTAATTGCAGTTGCACAGGGCAGGAAAGGAGTAATGCTTTGCAGGGCAGAAGCAGTACAGCTGTGAGGCTCGAGGTGGGAAGGCTGGAGGAGAGGTGGTAGTGTGGAATCTGGCTCAGTTCGCTGCCACAGCTGCCAGGAGGGACCAGCTCAGCGCCCTTTTAGCCAGCTGCACTCCCCGGAAAAGATGCTGCTTGTGGTGGTGTGGGACTGACAAGATTAATGTGTGTACCTGTGCTGTACCTGCTCCTTGTAGGGGTGAGAGGAACATTCAATTCTAGGGCTGCTGACCAAGTGTGAAAATTGACCCGCTGGGGGGAGAACACTGGTTTTATCATAATTTTAAGCATGAGGGAATTAATGTGTGTCTGCTGGAAGCAGTGTGGCATACCAGGAGGGGCTGTGACTCCTCCCAGCCCCCTCGTGGGATGCTAATAGAGAGGAGAGGTCCACTGTCCCATTTGAAAGAGAAGGGCCATGACCAATCGATGTTAAATGTGGCAGTAATGCCTCACACGGTGGCCGCGGGATAAAAAGGCAGAGACAGCCTGAACTGTAAAGACATTTCATTTCCCTGGTAATGAGGGAGACACACTGTGGCAATGAAACCGGGGAGAGAGAGACTGTGAGATGCTAATTTCTGCTCCTGCTGCCGCTGCTGCTTTGATCTGAAGCAAATGCCCGTTTTAAATTGCAAACGGATGCAAGTCAGATATCATCCAGCCAGTGGCTTACAGGCTTAATGAAGTGGGACGCATGCTGCTGCCTGGTAATGTTAGGAGAGGCAGGCA